TTTGCATTGTTAAATGATCATGAAAATATTTTCAATCCCAACTATCATTATTCATTGGTAATTTATACAGGACAGGATGCCTAAAAAATTTTTTAAGTCCTTTAATTCAAGAACTAAATTTTCTAAAAGAAAATGGCTTTGTAGATAATTTTGATAAGTGTTGGAAAGTATCTTTATATATTTCAAGTGATTGGAAGTTCCTAGCAACTGTTCTTGGATTTAATGCTGCTAATTCAAACTATTTTTGTCCATGGTGCATTTGCAATTAATCTCAACATGGAAAACTTAATTTAAATTGGAGTGTTTCAAAAAACATGGAAGATTTATCAGTTAATTACAATCCTAAAAATCCAAAACTACACAATGATCAAATTAGACCGCTTTATTTCAATGATTCCACTTGATCATTGGGTCATTGATGAATTACATCTAATGCTCAGGGTAATGGATTGTTTGCTTAGTTTATTATTTAATGAAATTAAAATTACCCAATCTAGCAACAAAAATTTCTCAGAGGCTTTAAGAAAAACTGTACAAGAAGAAATGGAGAGAATTAAAGTTCCTTTTAAATTTTCATTGGCAGAAAATTCTAAACAGTGGACATATACATCACTTATGGGTCCTGACAAGTTAAAAGTATTGCAATCATTTGATTTAAACAAAGTTCTCTCTCCAGCATATGCTGATAAAATAAGAAATTGTGGGATGATTTTGCTGATTTATATAGCAACATGTGTGATCCAATTTATAATTCTTTGCAATTTCAAAATGATGCCTTATTATGGTTTAAGAAATTTTTAATGAAATCTCAAGGTAGTCCTTTACAAAATAATTTTATTGAAGGCTTGTATAATGCATCTGACATGACTCCATATATACATGTACTTGTATATCATGTACATGAATTTATGAGTCTTCATCAAGATTTGGCCTTAAATCTTTTTCTTGTTCACCAGTGGAGAAAAAAAACCACATGCATATTAATAAATTTTTCAATAAAACTTTTAAAGATGGTGGAAATTCAAATAGAAAATCAGCAATTTATGAAATAATGGAATCAGTGAATAGACAGATTTATTATCTAGTAAATAATATTCCTTCTGCAATAGCTAAACCCACCAGGATAACTATAAAATAAAATAAATATTAAATGTAAAATATACTGTATGTTTACTATTTAATTTAATATATGTTTTTTTAATAATTAGCACAACAAATTATAATTATAATAATATTAACTATCAACCAATGCCCCAAGTAATAATCATATGACTTCTGAAGCAATAATATTGTGATGCGAGGCATAGTTTGTAACACGAAGCATAATGATGCAAGACAGTTCATGACGCGAAGCATAATTCGTGACGCAAAGTATAATTTGTGACGTGAAGCATAATTCGTGATGCAAGGTATAGTTTGTGACGCAAGGCATAATTCATGACTTGAGGCATTCATAATTTTGACAACATGTATAGTGATAACATTTCCAATTCTCTCAAAGTTCAGTTTTTGCCACCACCAATAATCAAGGCTCTGATCACCACCAGTAATAAAGAAAGACCCTCATAGTAATTATAATTATTATAGTTTAACTAGTTATTTTTATTATATAAACAAATGAACACAGATCATTCTATTCTCAGAGTTACGAAATAATGATTCTCAAGATAGACAAGAATTTAAATATATAGGAAAAATAGTAAATAAAAGTTACACAACTTTTGTTTTTATAATATATTAATGAAAAAATTAATATAAAATTATAAATTTTTATTGTTTTCTCCTAAAACCAAGGTGCTCCTATTTATACATAACTTAACAGTCAACTTGTTACTTATTGTCTTGTTTTCCCTACTGTCTACAATTTCTATTTCCTTCCACATAAATACTACATCTCCTTCATCTTCTGATCGTGTACAAATATCTGAGAAAACAGCTTCATTATTTTCATAATATTTAATGACCCATTCTTCTGATCCCAAACATTCATTTAAATTTTCTTTCCCCACCATTCCTTTAAAAACACATCTATACCACTTGAATATCTTGTTATATAATTTCCAAATATTTGAACAAATACAACCTCATGACAAACTAGAACAAATTTTTTCCATCCTCTTCCACTTTTATTATTTTTGTAGCAACTCCAAAAACCAGATATAATTTCTTGTTTCTAATGATAATATACTTACAGACGGATTATTATATTCTTTATAATCATGTTGACACAGATTGCATTTATAAATTTGATTCTAATTTAAAAATAAAAAAACAAAAACTATTAGACCAAAGAATGATGACTAAAAAATATTAAACAGTTTTCAGTACTTACTTGGACTTGGATTTGGTTCATTTTTATATATGTGTATATATTCGTATATATCATAAATTAATATTAATGTGGCATCCATTATGTTCAGGATTGTATTTTTACACGTGATCATGTAATTAATTCTCCTAACAAAAAAAAAATGAAACTTGGTGGTAGGTCGCGGTTTAAAATACGGGTCCGTAAGTTAGATCGAGTTAGTTTTATTTTGTTCTAATATAAATGTATAGATATATATAATCATGTATATTGAAAACCATTAACATAAATAAACTAATCAGACCTCACTGAACAAAAAAAAAAAAAAGAAAATGAAACTTGCTCTTCAAAACTATATAAGCAGAAATTCTGTAATATTCAATGCCTAGTCAAATTAAGATCGCTCAACTTTGTGCTGAAGAATTGACAAAATTGTTTGAAAGGTACAATTATTTTATTGCATGATTCTTGAACTATATGGATTTGAGTATAAGTTCACTGATCAGTTTTTTCAAAGATTGGATAAAACATTTCAGCTCCGTTACTTCCTGTGGCCATGTGGCAAGGAAGCCGTGAGCTGCGCGCTTATGAACTGTATGCGGCCATGTGGCGGTATAGTTCCTCTGGCGCACCTTACATTGTAAATGCTATTGCGGCCATGTGGCGGATAGCCTCTATACAGTATGGTTAGACAGGTAAAACGGAACAAGGTTGCGGCCATGTGGCGAGCTGAGTTCTATGACAGTTTACAATCTGTTGTGTGTCCATGTGGCAGCAACTTATTTGAAACTGTTTTTCATTAATTATGTGTTGATTACATTAGTATAACATAACACTAAAAAGCATTTCTTGAGATATATTTTTTTAAATTTTTTTTTAGATGAAGAGCCCAAGATAAGCAAGCCAAGCACTCATTGAAAAACATACTAATATTGTTATTTGGTATGGTGGATGGTTTGTTCTGCTGGAGAAGAGAGGCGTTTTTTATTGATAGCAAGAAATATAATATATTTTATAAATGTATTATTGAAATCAAGATCTTGTCATGTCTCTAGGTATTTATTATAAAGAATTCTTATCAAGATGATAGTAGATGATTGGGATTGTTTTTGCTTTTTGTAATCAATATTAACATTAATATTTATTACAAGATGTCAAGGAACATTTCGATATGTTACTCAGATGATCCATTGGAAAGGTAGATTTAAAAATATGTTGTATGTAGATGTTAACATTATTAATCAGAGTGTAATTGTTGTCAAATATTCTAGAATAAAAATAGTAACTAATCATGACGTTTCTATTACTATTTAGAAAGGAAAGTTGATAAAACCATATAATTCAATTCTTGGAGAACAATTTTCATATCATTGGGAGGTTTCAGAACCAAGGTTTGATAAAAAAGGAAACTTCATTGAGTGACAAATGAAAACGATAACAATCAAAGAATTATAAAGTTACATGTTTAACAGAACAAATATCACATCATCCATCAGTTTCAACTTTTTGTTATCATAGTGAAGATAAAGGAATAACTGCTTGTGGAGTAGATCAACTTTTGGCAAGATTTACCGGAACTTGTAAAAAAATTTTGAAAATTGGATTTCTTTTTTTCTTTTAATTTTTAAATGATAAAATTATATATATATATTAGCTGTAAAAATTGGACCAGGTGAACAAAATAAAGGAATTTACATTAATCTGAGTGAAAGAAGAAATGAAGAATATTTATTAACTCATCCTGTAGCCAGTGTGCAAGGTTGGTTAAAAGCTTCACCATATGTAGTTGTTGCTGGAAGCTACATTATAACTTGTCAAAAGACAAAATTGAAAGCAATATTAGAATATAAAGAAGAGGTAAATATAGTATGATTATTTATTTATATAGTATTTATATGTACATAATGTCTATGTAGACTATAAATAATTAATTGATTAAAAATAATTACTTTTTTTTTAAAAAAAAGCAATGGCTTGGAAAACCAAAATTTGCCATAGAAGGCAAGATATTTAAATATGATCCGAAGAATGATGATAAAAAAAATTGAAGATGGTCAATGAAAATGATGTTTTAGCTGAATCACTGGTAGTTGGTGTGGACAAGTCCATGCAACAAGACTGAATACAAATGTAAATAATTATTTAATTGTTTTGTTATTTTTAAAAAAAAAATTTATATGAATATTATTAATATGCTTGTATATGATTAGGAAACAAAATTACTTTTAGATATGGAAAGGATATTCTCAATTCCAAAAAAAAGTCGAACCAATTTCAAAACAAAGACCACTTGAATCATGTAATGTTTGGAAACCTGTCACAACAGTTTTATTTCAAAAAGAC